CAGCTGTCAGGGAGTCCCTGTGTGAGGGGTCAACCTGACAGGCCAAGGCTGCTCCCACTGGCTCAATGTGCTGCATGCAGAGGGGCTGGCTGGGGTACAAGGGTGCTTCAGTACAGGGCTAGCCAGCAGGAAGCCCCCACACTGAAGTACACTCGTGCCTCAGCCAGCCAGGGCCATGTCTACACATGCACTGCTCTAGAGTATTTACAAGTACTATCCTGCTTTGGAGTAAATTAGTTTACTTCAGCCTAACAGAAGCACACCCGTAGAGACTGAGATGTCTACTGTGCAGTTAATTAAATTACCACACAGTAAACATCCCGTGTAGATGTGCCCTTTAGAGTCCCAACAGTGCATTGTGATGCACAGACATATTTAGCATCATCCACCAGAGAATGTATTATAGGACCATTTGAACACTCTGTAGAGATTCTGTAAGTGTGTTTCTGGTATCCTCAATTTGGAAGCGTTTCTATGTTTGTTGCAATAAAACTATACTTTGTTCAATACTTTGAATTAAAGACAGCTTCTTCATGAAGGCAATAGTCAACAATCAGTTTCTTACTTTCTGGGAAAGGAGAAAGTTCAGCAAAATGTTAAATATGCAGTTCTGCTGTACACAGTCTCCAAAAACCTAAATATCCCAGAGACAAAAATACAATACTAAGAGAAAAGAGCATTTAGATTTATTGCTGTAAGCACAAACACTAAGAAAAATTGTATGTGGGTCATCAGACTACCTTATGATGAAATAAAGCTTCTGTAAACAACAACTAGCTTTATTTGCTTCTCCCCTGCACAATCATGGATGGCTCTAAAGAATTGTATACAAATTAGAGCCTTCATAAAATCAATCAATTCCATTAAGTCTAGAAATGCCTCAAGCTCTTTTTAGCCCATCAGTATATGTCAATATCAGACTGAAGTCTCGGATCATCTCTCTGGAAGTTATTCTTTTCTTTGTTTTCCCAGAGCTTCGGGGTATAGTTGAAATCCAAATACACTGACTTTTTAAGAGCCCCCTTACCTGTGAAAGCATCCTTGCTTTGCATCTCATTATGTTGAGGTGGCCTGCAGTAATATCCAAGATACAACTTCTGTTCCCATTTCATCCATCCAAAAACTTTCTGCCATGTCAGCTGTAACTTCAATCATTTTCTATTGATAAAATATTCATATAATTTTTGGCTATCCCTTCCATAAACTCCACCTAATCAAAAACACTTCATCAATACAAAAACCATGAATTTAGAAAATAAATGTTTTCCTTCCTATCTTTATGTGAAAGAAGGGAGGGCAGAAGGGAGGAAGGAAGGAGTGGCTAAACAAGAGTTTAGTAAACTGGCATTTTCCAAAGTGGCCTCTGGCTTTGGATACCTTCACCCAAGATTGTCAGACTAGGAGCTCTAGGTTTGGTTCTCAACCTTTTCTGGACCAGGACCCATTTGTAAACATTGATAGCCAGTCTCCACCCAGTGCCCCTCACTCCTGAGCTGCTACCCCCTGCCTCTAATGTGTGTAGCAGGGGGTGGTGGAGTGTGTCTGGGAGCTCTGCTAGCCTGCAAGAGGAAAGCCACCATTTCCCACATTTTTCTCCTTTAAAGGAGAATCCATTTTTAAAGGTTTGTTCATGACCCTTCATATATTATTGCAACCCACTTTTGGATCATGACCCTGGAGTTAACAAACGCTGCCTAGGTATCCAGCCCATCTGAAAGTCACCACCACAGTGTCTCAAACTGAACACTCAAAAATGAACACTCCTCATCTTATCTTTAGCAAGCCATATGAGGAAAGGCTGACAGATATGAGGCTGTTCAGCCTAGAAAAAGAGAAGACTTCAGGAGGATTCGGGTGGCAGCTTTACAAATATATCAGGGGTGAGCATCAGGGGCTAGGTGAACAACTATTCACCAGAATGCCCCAGGGTAAAACCAAGAGCAATGGTCATAAACTCCTGGAAGGAGGTTTCAGAATGGATACAAGGAAAAACTTCTTCAAGGTTCGCGTGACCAGACTGGAATAGACTGCCAGAGGTGGTGTACAAGTGCCTATCCTGGAGATCTTCAAGAGGAGACTGGATGCACACCTTGCTAGGGTTATTTGGCCCCAGCAGTCTTTCCTGCCCACAACAGGGGGCTGGACCTGATGAACTCACAAGGTCCCTTCCTGCCCTAAACTTCTGTGATTTGCCTCAAGTCTCAGATAAATGCATTTCATAGTGGTTAATCATCTTGTGTGCTGTGGCTGACACTTGCTATCTCAGTACTGTTTTGTGTGTCCCTGTCTGTCATATTCCCTCTATGCCCCACCTATTAGAATACAAGATGTAAGTGATTTGGGGGAAGGGATTGGTTCCTTTGTTATGTCTGTCTGCAGGATGTTAAGCACAACAGTGCCATTACCCAGCATGCAGCCAACAAGATTCAGCCTATGGACAGGGATCTCCATTGGGATAGGTTAAAAGCAAGCCTCCCTCCCATCACACATTCACCTTGAAGTTTCAGGGCTGCCCTACATGCATCTCTCAGGAAGGGCTTATGAACAGCCACTATTTGAAGAAGCCACTTCAAAAATACCCTGGTATAAACAGGAGAAGAATTTAGCCCATCATGTCCTGACTGACTGAAAGAAGGTATTACTCCAAGATAATGAAGGCTGTTTACCGATGTTCTCCCTCTCCTTGTCACATAGAATCTATGTTCATACTGACTTTTCCAGTAATACCATGTGAGGATCTGAAGAAAGAGTTTAGCCTTATTGATTAAAAGGTAAAAATAACAGATGTGAGCTGAACTGAGAAAAGTCAGCATCAGCAACAGGAGAAGCTAACATAGTTGAGATGTTAAACAATGGGATAAATAGGGAAACACAAGAGAAAATATACAAGACAGAAACTGGGTAAGATAAGGTTGATATTGGCAAGCTGAATGGCTTGACACCTAGTAGCATAAAAGAAACCTCCAGTGACCCTTATCCTCAATAAACTACTTTCCTGTCTCTCCATTTGCCCTTTCAGCACTCTTCCTGTTCACTTCAAGCTCTTTGAATTAACACTGAACACTGTGGCCAGGTACATCCATTACATTTTTACTGACATAAGTGATCAGAAACCAGTCTATACCCATAACAGAACAAAAATTCAGCACACAAAACCTGTCTACCCCCATAACAAAGCAGACGCTTGGTATGCACAGACTGGTTTGAAAATAGTGAACCCTGTCTAAGATTTGTCACCCCCTCCCTTTCCCCCACAGCAAACGGTAAATGTGTGTTCTGTTTATACCCATCAAAACTGATGTGATTTTCTGTAAGCTGCATAGACTCAGGCTTTTTTAATGTCTGTACCGAAACCTTTGTGTTATTTTCCCTTATCTAATTCCCACTTGGATTGCCTCCCATCTAGCTTCTGACCACAGTACTCTCTTGAAGCAGTTCTCACTGAAAATAGTTCCAAAGATTTCTTCCCAATAAAGCCTAGATAAAGCCCACATTTCCATCTTTCTGGCTTTCAATGCTGGGTTGCTCATACCCTCTTCCTTAAAAACCTTTTTCTCCCATTGGTTCTCTCTCTACGTATTTGACTACTCCTTGAGCATTTCTTCCTCCCTGTTACTATCCCTCCTGGACTTTTACATTCTGCTTCCTGGACTTTCATATTTTGCTGTAACAATACAAGCAAGCTCTAAAGAAAAGAGCAGCTTTGGCCATTGCTGTGCTGTGGTAACAACCAAAACATGTTAAAGTGAAAGGTGAATTTCCTGTTCTTATATTGTGACTTTCCAGTAAGCCATTCCTGATAAGGGTTAAAATAAAAAAAAGGCAGCATTTATTTTTTTTAATTCAATTTCAACTATATCCTCAAAAGTCTATGTTTCTAAATGAGTTGTACAATTATTCAGGCCAAATCCTTCCAAGATTCCAAGATATTTTCAGGTGAACATTAATCTCTTAGAAGTATGGGCAACAGACATGAATGCCAAAAAGTCTTAAACTGACAGAGAGAAATATGTAGGCATCAGGAAATGGTATTAACAGCAAAGTGAAATGCCTGAAAAATCTGCTTTTAAAGTCCCAGTTTTCAAATGTAATATTTCTGAAGAGCCATGAAGGACATGTTGGGGGTTGTTCTTTATAGTTCTGTCTAAGACAACAGTGAATAACCAGAACTTAACTCAAGATTGAAATGTAATTCAAAATCCTTACCCAGCCCCATAAAACTTGGAAGACAGGAAGTTAGAAATCACAATACCTGAAGAACTGTGGTCTTTTCTGTCACACAAATAAGGAAGTGACATGAAAGCTTGTTAAGCAACTTGAAAGAGTGGTTTATCTGGAGATGATTTTTCATATGCCTCATAGCAAATGCAAGCACAGTTTCATGGGGGAAACATATCAATTAGAGATGCTAAAGCAAGTATACACAGCTCTTAAATTAACTGTAATTAATTAATTGAATAAAAGCCTACTACTACTACTACATCATTACAAAACAAAAAGGTTCTTTTGATAGAAAATAAAAATGAATACTACTACAGGACATCTCAAAGATTCTTGGTTACAGCTACATTTGATTATGCATCAAAAAATGTAAAAAACCCTACCATAGATTAACAATCTTGCCAACAGAAAAAGGAAAACACTGGTTTTGCCTACCATCCATTAGTTACTAAATTCCAACCAAGCCACTGAATTATGAAATGTTGCCAGACTCATTTTAGTTGTTTGTTCCGTCAATCTACATCTCTTGCTGCACTCAAATGTATTAATCTGAAATGAGATTTTCTAATTAAGATTTGAGAGCAGTTTTCTAATTAAGATTTGTATTTTTAGAGTAAAGATGTGAGGCTAGGCAATATTTAATACTACTAATTTTATATTTACCTTCAAATGTTAGTCTCTGGAAAAACGACAAGCTGTCTAGGATGTAGCCAGTATGTACACGTTGCCCTGAGGGGTCAGGCCAATGCTCAGGATCTCAATATTGTGCTGTTAGACAGGAAGGTGTGGTGTACAACTGCACATGCACACATAAAAATCAATTAAGCACACACTCACTAGGTGCATACACCCCTATTAGGCATACACACTACCAGCTCAGGCACATACACTATATACCCCAAAAGTTAGACACAGATCACTAATTCATATATCATGCACACAATGCCACGTATAATATATATACACACAGACACACACATACACTCTCTCTCTCTCTCTCTCACACTAGCGACTCAGATACATGCACGTTCAAAATAATTAGTTTATGTTCATGCACACTACACACACCAAATTTAGACAGAATCAGTTACCAGTTACCAACACCTGCACATTCAATACACATATGTGGATTACTAATTCATATACCACACGCACACAATGATATCTATATATGTATATATAAGTGTATTCACTAATTTACACACATACCACCCACCTACACATACCCACAGATGAGTTCCTAAGTTGGGTATTGTGATGTGTATGTATGTATGTGCTTGGTGTACTTGGGATACCTGGGGAAAGGTTAAGGTAAGAAAGTAGAAGTGTAGGGAGTGAAAGTTGCCAGAACCGGGATTAGAATTGGTAGACTACAGGGACCTGGGCTGAAGAACTGAGGCTTGGGGGTAACTTAAGGTTAATTGATCTTAATTAAAAGATAACGCCCAAAGCCTGCAGAACAGGGAAGCAATGCCAGCACAGCTACGGGGGAGCTGAAAAGGTAGGTAGGGAGAGGGAAAAATAGGACTAAAGGAAAGTGTGGGTGTTAAAGTGGGGCTCTGGGTGTGGGGAGCCAGAGGATGGCTCTGGGGCAGCTAGAGAAGTTGCAGAGAGTGGCAGTACGTGCTGGAAGCTGGAGAGAACTGCAGGACAGCTAATAGGAGCTAGGAAGCTGCGGGGGGAGAGCCTGAAAACAGAGAGACAGGCAGCAGAAAATGACAGGAAAAGCAGCAGGCAGCACGGAAAGCATGAAAGCAAGGAGAGG